CTTTTTTTTCGGGCTATTTAAAAAAATAAAGTTGATGATGGTTTTTTGAAAACGAAACGTCGGATATAAAAACTAAAAATACCATCGTGTAGTACCTTGAAAGTGCCAATGAAAAAGTGTTATTCGTTTTTTGATATCTTTTCAAATAAAGTCAGAAAACCAGTCAGAAATCCTATTGTTGAGCGTAGATTTTTCCTGGTCATCGCCAGGTATTTCTTAGGTGTCATGATCACCCAGGGTGATCCTGGCAAGATTGCATCCTCTGATTCAATCCCATCTCTTTAGGGATTGTACATGAGCGTAACGTTTGGCTAGTTCCGCAATTGTCGAAGTCATCAGGCCGTAGATGCTACTGGGTCCTAAAAGTCCAGCCGTTTCCTTGGCTAAAGAGTCAGCAATGCGATTAGCTTCACTCCTGTCGTGCCCTTCAATCCAATAAGGTGGGTTTATGTCTGACGAATATAACACATTTTGGCGGTCCACATTTCCATTCTTGAGAGAGTTGATTCGTCGCCTCAACAAATACTTTTCAGCTGTAGTTGTTGAGATATCATTCTCACGAACAACTGTTACTGTGGACTTCAGGGGGATTCCGAATTCGAAATATCTTCCACCGGAAACAACCGAATAACGCCGTGTACAATCTGTTTAAAAAATTTGTTCAAGATCTGTTTTTCCGTTAACCAGCTGTCGCACCCTTACAAACGGCAACAGCTAGAAGTCAAAACTTGTGCGAGCTAAGGATTAACGAAGTCTTACATTTTAACGTGTGATTCCTAACACGGGTTGGACGATAGCAAGTGAAAATCGATCGTTCAGACTAGTGCTTCAACCACCGACCAACACGGCAGTCAATTCGAGTGAGTTAACAAAACACCCACGTCGAACCGCTTGCCTACCGACCAATGATTTTGTTGTCAATATATTCACAATAATGAGCTAAAAAAAGACTCTGTTCCCAGTCTTCCAATGCTGATTTCACTAAATGAGATTGAAGCCAGATCACTGAAAATACCAACAGCTATGTTTCCGCCCACCACAGGGCTCATTAGTGTTATTATGCTGAAAAAGGAATGTATCACTTGACACAACTTATTTGACGAAGGCCCGGAAATGCGAAGGTTGTTATTCGGTCTCAAAATCTTGCTATCGAAATTATTATGTTTTTCAGTGAAATGTGGATAATGAATTCTTAGTATTCAGCCTAAAGTTGCTAGCTCTAAAATTTCTACAAGAAAACACAATATTTTATAGCATTATTTTTGTTTTAGATATTTTGAATTCAATTTTGTTTAAGTTGTTTAATTTTCCCTATCGGGGTTTTCCAGTTGGTCTTCTAATGTAAGGATCTTTTCTAATCCACCTATCCTCATGAAATTCAATATTCTCGAATATATTTTCTCAAGCAACCCGTATATTTGAGTCTATTTCACGTAAATATCGTAAGCTACAAATAGCNACCTTGACACGTGTTTCGATCACCAAGTGATCATTTTCAAGAGGAAGATCAAACTAAACTGTTTAGTTTGATCTTCATTTTGAAGATGGTCACTTGGTGTTATTTCAACACCTTGACACTTGTTTCAATCACCAAGTGATCATTTTCAAGAGGAAGATCAAACTAAACTAAACTGTTCAGTTTGATTTTCATTTTGAAGATGATCACTTGGTGTTATTTCAACACCTTGACACGTGTTTCGATCACCAAGTGATCATTTTCAAGAGGAAGATCAAACTAAACTGTTTAGTTTGATCTTCATTTTGAAGATGGTCACTTGGTGTTATTTCAACACCTTGACACGGGTTTCGATCACCAAGTGATCATTTTCAAGAGAAAGATCAAACTAAACCAACTAAACAAGAGGAAGATCAAGAGAAATATCACTTGGTGATCAAAACCAGTTGTCGAGGTATTAAAGAATAGTAATGTTTCATTTTCTAAATTTTGTTGAAGGTGACAATGGTACGTCGAAAGTTTTTATCGCCATGCCTAAGTTCCAGCCTGGTGTACCTGTAGCCTTAGGTACAGTGACCAATAAAGTTAGAAATGGCAATCCAATTATCGCGCCGTACCCGTCTTGGGATTGGCACACCGAACCTACAAAATGCAAGACTGATAGAATCGTTTCTGTTTTCAGAGTGATGGTAAGTTTAAAGAAATTCACTTCCTTATAATACATTCAAAAAAGCAATGGAATGAAACGCACGTCGAAAATAGTTTTGTGGTTCTTATGCTTGGGAAGAGTATCTGAGTAGATACTTTTTAGTGTGCAGTTTAGAAGTTCTCATATGAAAGGTATATTGATTTACGTAAGTTGGGCTGAAAAGTTTGTAGGAAAATTCATGAAATTTCATTTTATAAATCAATATAGCTGCCTTCGAAGACGTACGATTATACCGGTCATACAATTTTTTGATGGCATTTTTACAATATGATTCGTTTTTAGCCTCGAAATAAGCTTCGGTTTCAAAGATTCTCTTGACATTTGAGAACGGAAGAAAGTCGCTTGGGGTTAGATCTGGAGGATACGGTGGACGCGGAAGAAATTCGAACCCCAATTCATGCAATGTTCCTATAATTTTCATTGATTTATGACACGGTGACGTGTCTTGGCAAAACAACGCTTTCTATGTCTCCAAATGGGGCCGTTTCTCATCAATTAATTCGTTGTTGTTGAGGAATGACCCTACAACTATGTACCAGAAAAAGGTTAAGGAAACTCTAAAAACAATAGAATTGGTTATGAATGAAAGGAATAAATGTAGAGCATTGATGATGAATTCACAACCAACAAAACTGTATTCCCTTATTGAATTACACAAAACCAATTTCCCGATTAGACCAGTGGGTCGTTTGTAACGGCACCTACCGTAAAAATCTCAGAAATCTTGATTAAATTGATTCTAACCTATACCAATTTGAAGCCAAAATTCAGTATAAATAATTCTTATTAATTAGTGGATAGTATTAAAAAGGTAATTCTTCTGGATAACGCCAAATTAATATCGTTTGATGTCCAAAATTTATTTCCCAGTATCCCACCAATTGAAACAATTGGACTAGTTGAGTGTCTCTTAGACAAAAACCACGTGAATCCACTGATAAAACAGGAAATTGTAGATTTAATCACCATTTGTCTATCTCAAAATTATTTCCAGTTTGACGGAAAATTATATTCATGCAATGAAGTCTAATAATGGGAAACCCTTTGAGTCCCTTGCTGGCGGAAATTTTCATGGATAACATAGAGTATGAAATCCATAATGATCAGTTAGCTAACAGTTTTTTGTACTGATACAGAAACGTACACAGACATTATCATACATAATTACTCCACACACCCTTACCAACATAAAGTTGCTGCATTCAATAGTATGCTTCACATATTATTGAATATTCCACTGTCTGATAGGGAGTTCCAGAAAGAGCTGAATTTGATCAAACAAATCGCGGTTAATAACGGTTACAAAGTAGATATTACAAACGCCATTCTTACCAAAAAACTTCAAAAGCAATCCATGGGCTTTGTCTACCCATATTCAAGATGCGATAACGTCAGTTATAGGACATTGGCATATTTGGGTGAACCAACCAGAAATATCGCCCGTTTTTTGAAGAAAGAAGGCGTAAACATGGCTTACAGAACGAATAATAATCTAAATATTTTTTCAAATGTGGAAAATGGAACATAAGCTCAGGTAATTAAATTCATTACAAACTTAGGTAAAAAAACAGGTACTTGAAATTCAGGTACATCAAATTGTATAATAAGGTATAAATATCATTTAATGTGTAGAATTAGTTATTAAGACACGCCCGAGGAAGCCACTGTATGGCGAAACACGTGTTGCGTTTTTGTAAAACTATATAGTGAAAGTCACACAATAAAGTGTTTTTAGAATACGTTAGTTATGGATTTTCATCAAGTATTGTCCGATTCCATCATATTACTAGATATCATTTAACCAATACAAGTTGATAACTCTGGTGGATATTTGCATTAGTCTCACAACATATCATTCATATATGAATCTCCAAATATAGCTATCATTGGCTCACAAAATGAAACTTTTATTATTAGGACATAAGAAAATATGGTCTCATATAATCATGTGGTAATAAAACATTTTATGATTGAGGAAAAGCCTGCACTGGTATTTCTTGGTTTTTGCAATATCGTAGCAGCAATCTCAGAGGTATAAATTATAGATAAACAATGGAGACATACTCGCTTACCGGACTTATCCTTCTTGCAATATTGTATAAAAAAATAGACCAAATAGTTCTCACGAATACCGATCCTAAGACAGTACTTCAGATCTTTTCCTGTTTCACCCAGACAATCTATCGTCGAGCAATAAATCGAAAGTGATCTGTGGTGCGTTCAAGAAAATGGAAAATCTAAAACTGGAACCCACAATATTGGAAGGTTCATTTACTCAACAGTAGGTTTCCAAAAGAAAATGATAAGACACAAAATTTTCTCCAGTAGAGTTCAGAGCACAAATCCATAAAAGCAGCAAATTTCTGGATTGGTATCAATTGGAGCATCAAACTAATTACTATATGATGATTTATATCTGCGATAATCCTCAAATCGACAAAACTTTATAACAATACCAAGTCGCTGATATCCAGTACACTCACTTCCTGACTGAATGTCTTATTTTCACCGTGCACCAATAATTCCAAAATTCGTGGGACGGGTGATCAACAAACCTATTTAAAAAAACTCAATATTTGTTGGAAGGAGACGAGAGACAATTGACCGTTTCTCTGTCTTTGTTGAATTCGCATCTTTCATTCGAAGGAATAGGGTAGGCGTAGCGCGGACATAGATTGTATTCGATAGTTCGCACGAAGACCAATGAATAATATACCGGGAAATTTATAATCATATTTTTGAAAGGGAAATTAATCAATGGTAGGGAAATTTCATTAACTTCAGTTACCAACGTCCGGACATAAGTTGCTAATTATTAGGAAATTATTTACAATAAGATTACTGGGAAAATGAGCTGTAACAGCTTGTCTTTTGAAGGTTTGAGTTAACTAAAAACCATATGAATTCAATACTAGTAGCACCGCCATCTGTGTGTTAGCCCACGAACTTTTTGCTCATCTCACACCAACAAATATGTACATAGATGCAGGCAGACTTTTCCGAATTATGATAAACATTCGAATATTGCTGTATCGTTTAGAATTGATATGAAAATCATTCATTTTATGGATTAAAATACACCAAGGAAAAATTTATTGAATTGATATATATTTTGAATTTCTCAACACCTCATCAGGATGAGGTTATATATTCTGATACTGAAAACTTGGGGTGTTTCTGGAAAACACCTACTTTTCCTCATGTGACCACTCAATCGAATACTTCAGTGGATACATTAAAAAAACAGATACTTCCCAGATACTTTCTTGCATTACCATGATATGTACAAGGTATGTTCAGAAAATAACGATAACTTTAATTTTTTGAAAAAAATATTCATCTATTCATCTAAATCAATGAACTTCGTGCACTTGTAGCAGCGCTTCTTCCAATCATTCAAGGATTGGAAACTCGATCTTTGACTGCCTTCAGCTCTTTCAACTATCCGCTTTCAAAAAACATTTAAATAAGCTTATATAACGACGGCTCTCAGAAGCTCTTTTCATTTCTGCAATAGGAAAAAGTCGCACAGAGCCATGTCTGGCGACTATGGAGGCTGGGGCATCGTTACAGTATTGTTTTTGGCGAAATTCACGGACAAGTGGGGAGTGCTTTATCGTTGTGCAAAAGCTATGACTTGCCTTTCCACAAATTCGAGAATTTTTCGTGGTCATTGCGACATCTCTTGTCAGTTGCCTTTTTTCATGCTATCGTATTATGATATATTGTTTTTCAGATAGATGAATGTGACAGACTTTGGGTATTGGATACTGGAAGAGTATTGGATGAAATGAAATGCCCCCCTCAACTTCTGGCATTCGATTTAAAAACTGTAAGTTGAAAACATATTTTAAAAATACTCATGATTTTTCAACAATACGTATAATTTTTCCAAATTGTATATTCATTCACATAGATATAAGCAACCAAAAAAAAAAAACTTCTACTATGAAAGTATCAAAAGTGTTGAATGCCATACACCAATTTTTCGATAGGTGCTTCTTGTGAGTATAGATATTATTCTAATATTATCATTCTAATATCGTTATACAGTGCATTTCTTCAATGTTCCACCACTTTTATTTTTTGAACGGGTCAAATCAAAAAATGGAATTTAATGCATAAATACTTCATTTTGAAGTGAAATTTTAACTTCCAAGATGGCCACTGGACGCCATCTGGGAAAAAAATTGAATAGAAAGGGGGGTCTTGTGACAAATCATTTTGAAGCTCCTGACGAATACTTCACAACCCTAGAACATGAAGACAATATCTTCACCGACTACAATGGCGGAACATTCAATAATTTTCTGAAGACAAACACATTAATATCGATATTTCTAGAAATATTCATTTTTATCTGCCATATGACAATTCCAACAAACCGATAACGTTTTTTAATTTATTTTTCGTTTATAAAAACGACAAAAAATGTCAGTACGACAATGAACATTATTGTTCAGTTAGAATATTCTCATTAAGTTTTCGGTTTAACTAGTAGAATGGTATCACGTCAACAATCTTAAAAACAGTCAATTCTCGTTCAATGGAAGAAAAAATTGAAGCGATTTGTATTTAAGGTGCGACGCGTAATTTTCACGAGACCGAAAATATTCTCAATGAACGTTTTCCGAATCGTCCTATCTGTAGAATTTATTTGAGGAAACTTGTATCCAAATTCACAACTACCGGTAGTGTACATAACAGGTCATCCGTCCATTCTGGAACGACAGCAAGTGCAAATAATTGATGAGACGGTAGTAAATCCTGAACAGTCTGCTTATTCCGTCGCTAATGTTTGTGAGGTGTCTTCTTCTACTGGGTGGAGACTTTTGAAGAGGAAAAGGTATCATCCATATAAAATTGAAACTGTACATCAATTAACTGAAGATGATCCTGATCAAAAAATATAATCCTGCGAAATCATGACGGAAACCATTACAGGGAATCCTACCTATCTCCACGATATTTGTTTTAGTGACGAATGTACATTTTTTTAAACGGCAATGTTCACAGACAAAATTTCCGTTATTGGAGTGATACCAACGTCAATAGTTCGATTTTTTTATTTTTGGTTGTTGCTTGTATTTTATTTCATTGTAATTCCAGTTTATTTTTGCTTAATATAATTGTTTCTTTTTTCAGCTGACTTTTTTAATTTTTCACAGATTCTTTTAGGGATTTCAAATCAATGTATACCATATTAGAAAATGGAAGTCCAAACTAATGAAATGTATCATGAAACATTGTCCACCACCTTCAAACAAAATTGCCGTTATTGAAGTGACACCAATCCTCACGTTTTCCGGGAAACACATACCCAATATCCAGAAAAAATTAAAGTTTAAGCAGGAATATTGGGAAACCATATTGTAGGACCTTTATTATTGATCAAAATTCAACAGGGGAACTGTATTTGAAAATGCTGAAAACTACTGTTGACCCTCTCATCACTGAAGTTGTAGGAGCTAATCTTAATGATTTCGATATGGATATTATATTCCAAAAAGATGGAGCACGACCACATTAATCCAGAAAAGTGATAAACTATTTGGATACTACTTTTTCCGTTCGTCTTCGTATTTTTGCTCTTTTCCATATCTCTGGATAGTTTTCAGAAGTGACAATAATTGAGTTGAAGAAATATGAAAGTGATACTATCAACGCAAAAATTCAATCAGGCAATAAAATTTGGCAAATTGTCCACTCCAGTGATGATTTTATCTGAAAGTTCTTATTATATTTTTTTCAGAAATGGGCTGAATCGAGATATTAGGGTTCAAGTATACACTAAAGAGAAAGAATCAAGAGTAGAATCATTACATTGCATGTAACCGGNTAAAGAGAAAGAATCAAGAGTAGAATCATTACATTGCATGTAACCGGGAATTCTTGATTTTTTTTTTCCTTTAGTGTAGATGAAAAAAATTCAAAATCTATTTAGATTATGATTATCATCCGTGGTTTAAATCACATACCATTGAAATGTCATATGTTCATTTCTTCAGTATGAATGTATCTGAGATGTGCCTAGCGTTCAAATCACTTCCATTTCTGAAATCTTTTCGAACCTGATGATTTTCAAAGTATTGCTGTACATTTTCATTATCTTGACCATTCAAGTACATGCTATTCAAAGTTCGATCAAATGGTGAAAAGCCATTGATTTAAAAAATATTTTTGCAGAATGCACTTCTCCACCGGTACGAAATTCCCTCCAGTCAGATTGAATCTCGTTCTATACTAGTTACACCCGTTGTGGAGATAATAGACAAAAGTAACCAGTGTCACAATACTTTCGTCTATTTAGCGGATTGTCAGACATATTCCATCATCGTGTATGACCTTCAACGACAGACTTCTTGGAGAGTGACTGATAAGACTATGTATCCATATCCCAGTTACGGTACCTACAATATTAAAGGTATGAACATTAATTCAGTTTGCGAAAGTAATATTACAAGAACTCAAAATTGTACCGATACATTTCAAATTTTCAACGAAAACTTTTTTATTCAGCAAATAGTAGTAATAATCCCCATCTGTCTTTGAGGGTGGTGGAAGAGTACACGCATGCTATCGGTATGAAATTTGGGATAGGTAAATGTGCAATGGTCCATCTCAAGAGAGGACGATGCGGAGACTACAAAGAGGATGTGCATCTGGATGCCGGAGAGACGTATTTTTACTATCGGGGTGGAACAACGCCACTCATAAGAGGTAACAGCAGTGAAGAGCTCTCTCCGCGGCAAGTATCAGCACAATTTCCGACAGATCTGGTCATCGGAATTGTCGGGGTAAAAAAGTAGCTGCAACAACTGTGCTTGTCGTTCCAATCTTACTTTACTTGTTTGGATTAGTGAAGTGGACTCGGGAGGAGCTTAGGAGTTCGCATCCCAAGTCCGTTCCACGTTTGTACTTCCCTCGACAATAGGAAGGCAGTGGACTTTCGATTTTGGAGTGCCTACATGAGAGAATGGTACTATATGGAGCACGTAAAGTCGCTAGGGGTTTGGATCCCCTTCTCTGCATGGTCCGCGATCATGAGAGAGCAGCAGTTGGATCATTTCTATTTGAGGCAGCTGCCTGAGCAGCTGGTGAACTTCGTTAAGTTTTCGACACTTAACTAGATAATCACAATTCTATCACCAAGATGTAACCCGTTCAATGAAAGGCCCATATAAAAGCCGAAGAAATCACTTCACTTCTCCGGCAACACAAGGATAAGCCAATGCATGGGGTCTTCTTCAACAACATTGAAGACCTCGGCTTTTTGAAGCGCCTGACCTTCGCGTTTCTCAGGTTGAGTGAGCTGGAGTCGGAAGCTGGGATGTTCATCATGGCCTGCCAGGTTGGTGTCTTCAAAATCTTCGTCTACCGGAGTCACGTGACAGTATGTCCAGTGCATGGGGTCTCAGCCTATATCCATCAATATGCCGCAGCCCTAAGAGTGCTATATTACCAACTATGGCGCACCAAGTGCTGAATTCATTTGTTCCTCATCTTCAGGCTTATACAAGCTAATACACCTAATACAGTCCTTCTCTTCCATCAAAGCAAGACGATATTTATCGTGGAGTTTGCAACTCCTGGCGAGATGAATATCACCCAAGAAGATTCAGGCCACTCTGTCAAGATGTTTGTTCTGATTATTGTTCTGATTATTGTTCTGATTATTGACTATCTTATAATCATGCCGGCTTGCCGCACTAAGGCAAGTCGGACAGATACAGAAGGCTGTCATTCTTGGTTCACAGTGCCTGATCAGGGCATATGATTCACGGACTCAGTGATCATTTACCCAACGGTGTGGAAAGTGGTCGTTGGTTGATAATGCTGATGCGCCCACCTGAATGTATCGAGGCTTCGGAGGAAAAGGCCTGACCAGCGCAAACTTGAGTTAAAAAAATAATAAAAAATGTTTTCATTGAAACTTTCCTCAGTACAAGAGATACTGATCTAACGTAACAAATAACAGAATTCAACGTTCGCACATGATAAATCATGGCAATAATTGTTCTTCCATCGAATCATGAGAGTAAAGAGCATGATATACTTTTGGTTGCTTGATTGGTATTGTTCAAAATCAGAAAGGTTAAGAAAATCAACAGTCATTTGAAAAATTTTCAGGTCGAGTGTTATTCGAAATGAATATTTCCATTGAAATGCTGTAATGACGTTTCCATTCGAATCGAAAATATCTTATTATATGAATGAGTTTTGATTATGATTCCGAGATATTTAAATATCCTATGTAAGTTGTTGGTTTTCAAGGTGAAGTTTGAATCGACGGTATCTGTTTATTGCATTGAAAAGTTTCTTTTGATTTATATGTTCATTTGAGATATCTCAGTAGTAGAGTTAGAGTATAGTCACAGTCATAATCATAATATCAAATTCAACCTGTGGATTTCTGTAGGTGCATGTAGGCAAAGTTTTAATATTTGAAAAAAAAAATTGTTTTGAAAAAAAACATGTTAGTCAGTTATAGAGAATGTAGCTGTGAGTATCGTCCAGGTGTATTACTGAAAAGTATAATTCAGCTGTATTACATTAGTAGTAATAAGCTCACATGGTAGAGTAACTTTCACGTTAGGCTCATGTATTTTGACTAGAGTGAAAACGTTTCTTAATATGGTTCTTAACTTGACCAATAACACAGCTCTACAAAAAAAAATTCTTGTGTTGCCTTGGATATTTTTGCAAATTTTTATGTTTTCGAGTGCCTAAATCACGAATATATTTATGAAAGTACTGAATGTGCTCTATTTTTTATGATATTTACGTATCTTGTATTTTTAATAATAATCGGCTTGTTAGTAAAAAAAATTCATTTTCTCAGTCATGATTAGGCTTCTGCGCAACTTCTTTGCGCGTACAAACATCACGTGATACCCACTTCTAGGGCTCCTTGCTCAGCAAAACAGCTGAGAACTCATTTATTTGATAATATTGAAGTACCAACACGGAAATCTGTATAAGTTGTTATATGTTAATATTTTGTTTCAATTATTGAGTGTCCGTTCTAATATATTTATCTTGTCTTTTTAAACATGAGTTTGTCACGAAGGAAGTGCAAATATAGCAGTGATTTATTCTGTTATATTTGTGGTATTTATATATCAAAAAAACAAAAAAGAAATGTCACAGACTTTGTTAAGGAAACTTATGCTGAATATTTCTGTTTTAAAATGGACAAATTAGATAAATCATGGGTTCGTAATAAAATTTGTAAGTCTTGCGTTGAGTCTTTGCGGTTGTGGNTTTTTTCCAAATAAAACTGAGATTATAAATATATCTGTTATTTTGTTTCTTGTTTTCGAATTTTTGTAATGTAAAATGAAAATAAATATTAAAAAGAAAACGAGGGCAAATCTTACAAAACTATTGATAATTTCATAAATTGTGAGTATAAATACACCCAAAATCAATCTTATATCTAGGGCAACAAAACCACGTAATAATAGCACACCAGTGTGATAAATGTCGAGATTTTCACACAGTTTATTGTAGAGTTTGCTCACTGCAACAAATGGTGATAAAAAGTCAGTTCATTTCTAGAATTAATTCGTGGAAGATGAAAGTTGAAGTGGGAGAGTAGTTCGGGACAGTCAATTAGATTCTTCACTAGTTCATAAATGAGAATTATAGAGTAGTAGGTTCTTCGGTTTTGAAGGGATAATATATTGAAATTCAGTAGTTGTCGATGCCTTTTACAGGATAAACTTCTTCTAGCTTATAAGTAATATATGTCATGAAGCCTCTTTCTATGGACTCGATTTTGTTTATGTGGACATTGTATATGGGTGACCAAATAAGGGAGGCATATTCCAGCCGAGACTTGACGTATGCATTGAAAAGAGTTGTGTCATAGTGTATGGAGAAACTCAGTTTAGGGTCAAATGTTACACCAATATCCTTTTGATTAGTGGTTATTTGAAGAGGTGTGTTATTTATGCAGTAATCATGAGAAATAACATTATGTTTGAAGGTGTATTTTGAGTATTTACATTTTTTTGTGTTGAGGGAAATATTAATTTTGGTACACCAAAGTTACAAAAAGTCAAGGTCTTTTTGTAAGATTAGGCAGTCCTCCTTTAATGTAATGGGCCGAAAGATTTTCAAGTCATCTGCAAAGAGTAAGAAATTACTAGAGAGATTATTTCCTATATCGTTAATGGAGAGTGAGAATAAAAGAGGTGCTAAATTGCTTCCTTGAGGGGCATTAGTGTTAGCAATAAATTGGAACGACTTGTGACCTCTATAATCTACGAATAGGATACGTTCAGTTGAGTATTAGCGGAAAAGGTTTAAGAGTTGAGAGTCGAATCCATATTGGTGAAGTTTATTGATAAGAATGTTATGATCCAACTTCTCAAACGCCTTCGAGAAATCTGTGTAGATAGTATCTAGTGGTAGGTTATTATTAAGTGCATTACTTACTGATTGTGTGAAGCACATTAAGTTAGTTAGTGTTGATCTTTTGCTAAAGAAACCGTGTTGATTGTTTGAAATTGAATTCTTAATAAAAGGTCTTTATTCTCCCTAAAAAGAAAATAATACAATAACTGCTCTTCTATCCAACAAAAAAGTTCAAAAGCAGAATGAAAATGAAAAAAATTAATCTATAAGTGTGTTCATTTCCAGTATATTTCCACATCCACCTGAGAATAACAATAGTAATACCAATGATAATTTTTAATTATAAAGTGGTGAATAATAGTAATAAAGGCATTTGTAATGTTACTAACGAGGCAGAAGTGAGTAGTGTAATGTAGTGGCAATTCCATAATTGAAATGATTTTTTTTCATTATCTGGTCCTCTAGGAAGCAGTAACATAACAAAANTTAGTGCCTGGCTTCAGATAGAGAACACGTAGTGGTGATTCAAGTAAAATTTTTGAGAATCATCCGTAAGAATAAATCAAATCTTCTGAGGTATATATAGATAATAATTCAAAAGTTGATTTCAACTAATTGTAAAATCGTCAGGAATTTTTTACAATTTTCTTGTATCATAGTTGTGCCAGGCTGAATCATAAAAATCAATGAAATCATCAAAATCATAACAGCACAAAATTATAAAAAGCGCACAAGCAAAAAAAGCTTACAAGCATTAAAATAACGAAGTATGAGAACCATTATCGGCATAAAAGCGGATATTAATTGGACTGTACGAAGGGATCGTCTTGGACGTGTCAGACTGTGCTGTAAAATATAGGTCTGAGGTGGCTACTGCTGTAGACTGCCGGAATCCCGGATGTTAAGAATCAAGAGAAGTCTATCTGAGTTTCCTTGGTGGTTTCAGAAAATAGAATTTTGATTAGAAGTTGTAAGGTTCAGTGAATTCATCACTAGGGTGGGACCTTGTACTTTGTTATATTCCCTTTTAAAGCCATCATTTGAAAGAGTACAAAATTTCAGAACTTTGACACTCTAATTTCTTCATCCAGTGACAATTTATGTTAAATGATGTATTTTCATTAGTTTCTTTCAAGGGTAGGGATGCAACACCCTATTAAAACTCCCAAGTAAACCGTATTCCTTTTTTTTTTGGTCTTTTTGTAGTGTCTCCTACCCCGGTGTAAGTTGGTCTATAATCATAAGTGTTGAAAAAGAGTACACTATTTCTGGAAATTTCTGTAGATGGCGTCCGAACGGAAGCTTTCAATTCAGTCAACTTTTTCCGCAATCAAAATTGACTTTCTATAAAAAATCAAGTACTGACTTGCACCCTTGCCTCCGCTCCACAAATCAAGAGCTAGTCATCCCAACTGGGCACATGCACCGCTTTCCTGCTGTCGATCAAGAAACGAGGAAAGAAACGGAACAGGTTCAATTCGATTACGACAGTGACAGTGATTGAAATTGTGATAATGTTGTGTAAATAGGCCCGGAAGTCACGTTTGATTCAAGAATAATCACACCTAAAAGTTAATTTCATAGATGTCAGTCTTCTTGCTGTTGGGAAAAAACCTTTCATTGTTGTGAAACTTTGTTCTTGTGGCCTAGCCTTGAATGTTTTCAACACTTTATCGGGTTGAAGGAAATAATCGATATAACATATAAAATGCTCACTCACAAGTAATATTCTGAAATGAAATTATCAGTTTGTGATTTCTGATTTTTCTTATGATTGTTGACAGGTGACAGTTTCGATCTGATGGATGGCATTCTAGGAATGAGTTTATCACCTGCTTTATCAGAAGGTGGAAGAAAACTGTTTTATCATGCAATGTCCAGCGGAACAGAAAATTGGGTGTACACTTCCGATCTCAGAAACGAAACACGTTTCAGAGAGGATCCGTCATCATCCCCAGGCATATTCACTGTGAGTATCGACGATGCTTTTTCAATAAATTATAAATAAACTATTTTCGAACTTGGTGCCAAATTCGAATGTATAAATAACTGACAAAAATGTTTCAATACAAAAGATTATAAAAGTTATATCAGTTCATAGTATATTAGATCGAAATGTCCAATGTCGTTTATGACAAATGAACCAGCAACTCTCTCACAACTTTCAAAACAATTTTTCCACACCAGAAGAAAATACTGTCTATCTACACGCGTTTTGCTAACCAAGTTAGCATCATCAGGAAATCACTAGTTCTAGTCAGAGGTTCCAATCCTGTTTATCAAGTTTCACCATACCTCTTTCAATATACTCTCCTCCACTTTCCCTAAATTCTTCTATTCGGATTTTCCACTGTTCGAAACAGTGTATTGAGTTATCTTTTGAAAGAATATATGAACATGTTTTCGCCTTTAGCTTTTTCCATCATAGCTTCCACTATATTGAACATAGTTCTTTCCAATGTTTGAAAAAGTCACATAGAGTTAGATCTGAATGGAAGAGTGGATATTGCAATACAGGAGTCTCATGCCTGGTGAAAAATGACAATATTCAGAGCAGTATCGGTTAGTATTCAAGTGTGTATGCCCACTTAATTTCTGTACAGTTTTCTTTCCTTATACTAGGAATTTGGGGAAATAAGGATATGCGGTTGGTTACCTCATTCACAGGCAGATGGGGCGATGACAAAGAAACATGTTGTTTGTCGTTCGCTTCAGCCTAGTTCGAGGAATGATACTCTGAAGAAATTAGATTTTCATTTATGGAAAATCATCGACTTTATGTTCATGAAGTCTCCAGAAAACACTGCATGCTCTTGGGTTTATTGCGTTTATTCTCCCATCTTCTCATGACACCCATTCCATCAGTCTCGTTCCCTGTACTAGTTTTTTGAGGTTCCGTGGTGGATGTTCATCATATTCTTCTGGACGTAATTTCGTACGTCCATACATTGCCTGCCTCCAGTGATTCAGTGCCTAACATTCGCATAAGATGTGTAGAGCTATTTCTATCCCTTCGTTGCAAAATCTCCGTTGTACAGCCCCATTTTATTCAGGTGTCCCCTAAGCGGACAATAACCGGTTAGAAACCCTGTAATTATTCCGAGCCGATCTCTCATATATTGGAGTAGTTCTTCGGTTATTTTCTCGGACGGTCCCCTAATGAAAGTTCTACTGTGTTTATTGCCAGGTATTTTTGTCCAGTACTCTGTGTGCTTCTTATTGGTCCATGTCCTAATCTGGTTTTGTAACAACGATTTTGGTACCCCCAGAGCTTGTTCAGGACCTATATATGAAGTTGATGCTCCATGTCTAGCGCATTCATCAGCTTTATCATTACCAGTGATTCCTGAATGCCCTGGCACCCAGTACAAAGTTAATTTGCAAGTTCATTCAGTTCTTCATAGCATTCCCAGACCAGTTTGAATGTCACCTTCGGGTTTGTCAGAGCCCCTAGTGCGCTCTTGCTGTCTGTGAAAATATTGATCCGCTCATTTCTTTGAGGTCTCAATTCAATGAGCCTTGCACACTGCAAGATAGCATACACTTCCGCCTAAAAGACGGATGTGTATAGTCGTAGCGGATAACTGTAGTTTAAATTTCTATCCGCTTGGTATATTCCAGCTTCCGTTACATGTTTGGTCTTCGATCCGTCTGTATACCAGGTGTTTTTCCCAAGCATATTTTCGTGATGACTAATGGTCTTCCACTCTTCACGTCTTATGATTTTGGCCGTGAAATTTGTGTTGAAGGTATACTTCGGTGTCATGTGGTCCGTGCACATATTCAATATGTGCTCCTTCACTTGTTTCGAAATTTATGTTCAGTCCGATCTATTGTAGTTCGGTGAGTTTTCCAGTCTGATTTCGCCCATCCTGGCTTCCCCCATTATCACAAAGTGTAAAAAAGGTAGATTCAGGAGTGTCTCCAATGCAACTGTTGGGGTAGTTCTCATTGCTCCCATCATTCCCAAACATGCAAGTCTTTGCACCTTGCCTAATTTGTTGATGGCGGTCGCCTGCTTCATCTTTGGCTACCAGACCAGAGATGTGTATGAAATCATGGGTTTAACCACCATCATGTATAGCCAATATACCATGTCTGGTTTTAGCCCCCATGTTTTTCCATAAGTGCATCTGGCGAGCATCAGTTCTACCTCCGCTTTCCTCTTTATCCTGTCCAAGTGTGAGTTCCAGGTCAGTTTGGAATCTAGAATTTCTCCCATATATTTAACCTCCCCCGACACTTGTATTTCTTCACCTCGAAGTTTTAGAGGTCCGAGACCCTCCGTTCTAGTCCTCTTGGTGAATGCTAATATGGTTGATCTGGATGGGCGTGTGTTGATCCTCTCTTCTTTGGCCCATCTTATTATAATATTCAGAACCTGCTGCATGCATCCCTTCACTACATTATTGTATTTACCCCAGACTAAGATGACTAAGTCGTCTGCATATCCCAGTGCTTTATACCCATTGTGGTCTAGGAGACATAATAGCTCGTCCATTACAAGGTTCCATAACCAAGGGGATAGAACCCCCCTGAGGACAGCTCCTTGCTACCCGTGCGACGACTGTTTCCCCCATGATGGTTGTATATACCAATCTTCCCCTAAGCATGCAGTCTATCCACACACAGCTTGTCTTGTCGATCCTTCTTCTCCTCGACGCCTGGATGATTGATTCTAACGACGTATTATCAAATGCGCCCTCAATGTCCAAGAAAGCAGCTAACAGTACTTCCTTGTTTTTGTTACCCGACATAGAGCCGTTTCTGTTGACATACCTGACCTGTATGCAAATTGATCTCGATGTAATGGTCTGATAGCCAGTGATACGTCCCTGATATGCTTGTCAAGTAGTTTTTCTAGCGTTTTCAACGCGAATGACATGAGTATGCCTACTTACTTTATGTACAATCAGCGTGTTGTCATTGGACAGAATCTTTTTTCCAATACCAGCCCTATCTGTAAAATTGCGTCAAATAAAAAAAACACTCGATGAGCACACACATATCCAAGAACTATTGGAGAGGCTCGTGGTTGGAAGCAACAACTTTATTAAAAAAAAACGATGATTCATTTTATTTTCATGATATTGTCAATATTTTTCAGACTTATCGTAAAAGCAGAGGTACCCAAAGCGGAGGAGAAGCTTTCAACAAAGACGGAATCCTGTTCTATGGTTTGATGAGTGACGTGAAGATCGCTTGCTTCAACGCCAGAGGAGAGTATGGATATTATAAAAGTACCGATATTGTAGCTGATGACCCAGTAACGTTACAGTTTGTTAGCGGAATCAAGGTAAGGCAGCAGAACATTAATGAAATGAACACTCTATAAACTTTTAATTGATGATGACAATTCATTCAAAATTATATTCAAACCGTGGGATACTCACTGAACAGTTCCTTGAACGTCAACACGTGTTTCACTATGCAATAGCTTCCTCAGACTTGCTCATGCGCCTGAGGAAGCTATGGAACAAGCCTGAGGAAACCATTATACAATCTGTATATGTAGAGTAGGGAGGATAAGTGTAAGCCCACGCACTTAGACCATATGTGACACATTGTACATCCTCCCGAGGAGTTGTCCTCCTAGGTCATCGTCCATCCTGTCCTTTCCAGGAAGGAGGACAGGTCGCTGGAAGACATCTTCTTTATATCGGCAGGTGTATGCCAAAACTCGCTGAACACAATCTCTTTAGCAATCTTGAGATGTCTCACGGCGGCCTTCGTGAAGTTTTCGGAAGGTGCAGTGACATTACTGTTGTTGTTCGTCTTCTTCAACCTTCTTGGGGTTCCCTCCATGGAGGTGCTCAAGTAAGGGCGTTTTCCTGCAGGGGCAAGGGTGCCTTGCCTTTATTCAAAACGGAGCTCTTCGCGCCCGCCGCAGTAAGTGCCTTTGCCGTTAGAGGTGGAGTGGAGGAGGAGGTGGGTGCACTTATAGTTGCTGCCACTCCTGCCTCTTCCGATCTTTTTCCACTTTTGGCCTCGGCGGCGCAAATGCGCTTACGCCTTGGCCTTTATATTATATCACGAGGTGATTTGCCATGCCCAGCCTCATTCCGATCGATAGATTAGGGTGGACATTTCTTTGCAATTGCCTTCGTTTTGTTTCACGTAGTGAGACTTACGATTTGAGACTTGAGACTCAAGAGTGGGTGCATGAATCCAGTGTAAGTTGGAGCATAGACATCTCAAAAGGTAATGAGGGCAAGAGGAATATTTCAATTTCTGTCTCTATTGGCGAACGCGCAAAAACTACATCGTTTGAAAGAAAACAGTTTTGGTATATTTTTTGTTAGACTCATATTTAGTTTTTGATCGAAAAATATATCCTTAGGCTTATTATTCACTTCACCAAGTTATAGAAGCACTTTTGTGTATAAAACACACAAGTTCCAATTCTTTCTCGTTGAAATCAGAGTACGCTACCATACAGTAAAGTCTGCAGTGGAGGGAAGATGACCAACTCATTCGGTTTTGAATTCATGGTTTTAGTTTTCTGTTGATCCCATAGATGGAGCCTTTGGAAGGGTGATATCCATTAGGAAAGAAAGGTGTTGGCTTTCACCTTCTCCGGCTTTATACAAAAAAGTGGAAATTTCACAAAGGAAGAAAAAAAGCAATTGATTTTTTTATATGAACATTGGATTATACAAAAATTACATCTTTCGTATTATCTCGTACATTCTGTTTAATACAAACGGTAATAGACCTTCACAATAACTTTGTTCCGTGATGAAATATCTGCCAAATTATCTTTTTATCATATCCATATATGTTTTAAGTAGTAGGTATTGAAAACACCTTCCCAATATTAGAACAAAATTACGGTCTCTCGACACGCGTTTCGCTAACCAAGTTAACGTCTTCAGGAGAACATTATTACTAAATAATAGTGCTTTCATATGCTAAGGGCTGATTTCCTCAATACCTCTAATTTGCTAGGCATTTCTTCTGTGTAAGTGACTATCTCCTACATTTTTTCTCTAGTATTTCTCTGTTTCTCATTCAGAATTATTACTATAAGACTGAACAAAGGACTGTTCGAAATAAGACCTTTGTCGCTATTCATAGAACTTTTCGATTTTCAAGCTTTCGAAGGCATCCAAAAACCTGTTATCATGTACCTACGGGTCTCAACAATTTTGGACAATTTTAACTCATTCTGTGGTCGTTCTTTATGTCATGTTGAGCAACACTATAATTCTACGGTCTATGCAACGAAACATGCGAAATATCAGGGGAGCCCCGATGCAAAATGGACATTTACTCTAGCGTCATAGAAACATATTAGGTTGCAAAGCTCAGATGATAAAAAGAAAAAAATGCTATATAATATATACCTTTTCATCGGTGGGGGAAGAGGCTATAAATTTTCAAATGTGTAAAAAAATACTGTTGCATGGACATACTCGAGCGCGTCAGATATTGATAGCTTCAATGTCCTACATATTTTTAATAATGTTGGCATGATGTGAGTGGTTGTACGTGAGGGTTAAAAATGAAAAGAAAAAAAAATTTATTCGAGCGCGTCAGATTTTCTAAGGGGGTGTTAAGTGCAAAAAAAAACTCTTATTCAATAATCTGACGATTTCGATCTGACGCAAACTCGCGGACATTATTATGATGTGCAAAAAAAATTTGCCATTTTGAAATACTCAAGCGCGTTAGATCAAGATGTATATGGTTTATTTTTATGTTTTAGACACCCTATTAAAACATATTCCTTTTAGCGAGCTAATATAGTTCGTTTGGTTTGACAAACATATTCTTTATCACATTCCAGCTCATTTCGTAAATCCCATACTTTTTTTTTCTCGACGTTTCGTCTTTCGGACTGCCCAACATTTGTTGAAGTATGCGTGCAGTTCTCGAAACCACGTTTATATTCAATTTTTTTATTGTTGAATGGTCTAGAGTTTGATGTATATGATGTATATCATTTCCCACAACAAAAAATGGCGGGACTACAATTTTTTGTCCATAGACTCCTCACATTTCCATGAACAAAGAAATGTGAGATTGAGAAAAAAGCTGTAAGCAATGGGAATCTATCAAACATAGAGAATGAATTAATCAGAAACAAAAATTTAGAGAGTATCTTCGTAATGCCTCGACTTCTAGAAAAGAGGAAGATTCAAAATTTATAGTACTTCCATATAAACTCAAATACACCAATGAACATTCAAAAAATTTCATACAAAAATGGCTTCCAAAACTGCACGTATACTTCAACAAGTGTTGGGCAGTCCAAAAGACAAGAATTTGGAAAAAGAAAGTTCTGAGATTGACGAAATAACGTAAGAGGATTGTGATGAGAAATATGTTGGTCAAGCCGAACGGTCTATATAAGCTCGCTACAAGGAACATGTTTCGCATGTTCGGTTTCATAGACCGGAGAAATCTAGTATCGCTCAACATGCCATAGAGATTGACCACGAAATGAAAGGGAAATATTGAAAATTGTTGTGACCGGTATATGACAGAAGTTTCTGGAAAGAGTTCTATGAATAGCGACAAAGGTTCTATTTGGAATAGCCCACTGTTTAGGTTAGGTTAGGTTTGATCTGAAGTGACTGGGTCTATTCGACCCTCCACTGCAACCCCTAAGGGTTTATTGTGGCTCACACCTATTCACACTCGACCAAATAAACCCAGCTTCTTAACGAAGCCGATTAGTTTGTATGGTGAGGGGTCTTTTAGGTCAGATGGTAAGAGTACTGCTCTGCGAAACTCTTAAAACCTGATTCGGTCCCGAGCGAGGCAGGCACAAAGTATGTGCTCTGGTGTTTTAATCATTTTCCAAATAAAGGAGACACACACTGTCTTCTGACAGTCCGAGTATCTACATATGATAATTCAAATGACAGTGACCTGTAGTAGTAGTTAGGTACTGCTAACAGGTAGTAGTTATTCCACTAGCATGCTGCAGGCAACAAGTGATACAATTGAGTCCAGGTTCATGTTCATTAACCCTACAAAATACAAATGAAACAGATCCAGATGCTACGAATGAAATACGCATATACATATACAGACAACTCAAAAACTAAAGAAGGCTCAAGATGTCAAGAAGGCTCAGATCACTAAGTCTAAGGATTCAGCGGAGAATGGGAAAAATACCAGTTCAACCAGAACTGGCTGGTATCTCAATCGTCACAAAAGAAATAACCAGGAAAGGAATTTCCGGTAAAAACAAAACAATCTGCACTGACAGCAGACAAGCCCTATTAGCCTTGAACAGACAACGTATTACCTCAGGGCTAGTAGTAGAGTATCACCAAGATTCAGCCAAAGCCTCGGTAGATAATAACATTATACTGAGGTGGATTAAAGGACACGACAGGAGTGAAGGTAATCGCATTGCCGACTCTCCAGCCAAGGAAGCGGCTGGACTAAGAATTTTAGAACCCAGTGGCACCTACAGCCTGATGAATTCGACAGTTGCGGAACTAGCCAAACGCTTTACGCTCAACAGTAGGATTTCTGACTGGCCACTGTCAACTAAAGAAACACCTCCATAATATAGGATGGATGACCTAGGAGAATGTACAATGGGTCACATGTGGCCTACACTCACTTTCCCTACTCTACAGATGCAGTAGTAAAATTTAGTCACGATAATCTCCTGAGGACGCTAACTTGGTTAGCGAAACGCGCGTCGGGAGACCGTAATTCAGTACGAACTATCATGTTTTTTATATAATTCAATGTTCATATAAGAGTTGTTTTTTCGGAAGTATTCATAGTTGTTTCGAGAAAGCTTTTTCTTTCAGTTTGTTTCTGAAAGATACTTCTTTGCATGATCTACACATCTCTGTGAAGAGTTTATTTTGAAAATCAGTTTCCAAAATTAGAAAGCTAAAACGTTTATTTTCCAAAAATCCGTCTCTCCTCAAAATATACCCTATCAGTTCAGGTAATATCCATGTTCACTCACTCGATTTGCTTCCCTATTGACAATATAGGAATGTGCGTTCATCAACATTCATTTCAATTGTAGGTTATAGTGAACAGAAAAGGAGAAGAAGAACTCTTTGTACTAACGTCTCGATTTCAAAGAGTAGCAACAGGAACTTTGAATTCGTCTGAAATCAATTTCCGTATACTCACAGGTGGAGTTGACAAGTTGCTAGCTGGAACGAGATGCCGAAGTCAATTGTCAACAAAATGGGATTTATTATTCTCACGCTGGAGTTATGCTTAAAATCGGTAGCAAAATGTTTATGTGACTGATGAACTATTATTGTTACGTTCAATGAAAAATAGAGAAGTCAATTAAACAGATTGATCAACATATTTTGCATTTCTGTTATTTCAAAATAGAATATTTTGTGGGAGAAGAAAATTTATCTCAGAATACCCATTTCAGGAATTCGGTCTGTAGGTGATCTACTGGAATAATTTCAGCATAGTTCTGCTGCTGGATGAACATCTGCGAGACTAAACTCTGTTGGGTATCTTGCATAGTCTGGTCAAATTAAACCACAAAATATGAGTAAAGCTACCTAAATTACCAATAAGGTGAAAATCAGTAAGATACCTACTTTAAAATATGATTTAAAATGAAATTTTGAAATTCCCCATCTTTCCCCTGTATGGAAAAAAATGTTTATTCAAGGTCAATGAGTTTTTGGCGATTTTCAGCAAAACGGTGAGTTTTGTAATTATCTACAAAAAATGTATCAATACTTTGTCTTCTGNAAAATTTTCACACGGCAGAGAAACAGATTTACTACCTTGGCTAGTTTCATCACCTCAGCTTCGCCTCAGCAATGAAATGCTAGCAGCAGCAGTAACAATTTCAAAGGAAATTGCCCAAAAACTCTTCTTGATTCAACTGATGGTGAGTTTTGGATGAAATCTGTTCTGTCAATCAGCGTCGGCCCCCTCCCCCACGAACGACAACTCCCAAAAGTCGAAACTTGTGCGAGCTAAGGACTAACGAGGTTCTACCTTTTTTCATGTGAATACTAACACTGGTTGGATGGTAGGAAGTGAAAATCGATCGTCCAGCCTTGCGGTTCGAACCGCCGGTTCACACAGCGGTCGATTGAGCGAGTGAAGCAAACCACCCATGTCAACCTACCATGCTACCATCCCATTATGGTTTATGAAAGAAATGAACTGTTCTTCTTTAAAAGACAATACTTCCTACTGTTTTTTTGGGTATGTAACCTTTCATAAACTGAAAAATGAACGGAGCCTACTTAATAGAGAATCTGCTGAAGTGTAACAAATGGCAAATTGAAAAGTTCATCTCGAAAAGGTTTATTGCCTAATATAAACCACCGAAGAGAGCTCTCATTCAATAATCTGACGATTTCGGTCTGACGCAAACTCGCGGCCATTATTATAATGTGCAAAAAAATTCGCCATTTTGAAATACTCAAGGGCGTCAGAATAAGATATATATGGTTCATCTTTATGTTTTAGACGGGCTGTCTCATAANCGGATTCTTTGAGTTTCCTATTCCTCATGAGATTATTTGGTGATAATTTTTGTTTCACTTCATTCTATAGCTTAATCACTAATCACTATTATACTTATACACTGTGTCCAAAATAAAAATGAACAGCATAAGGATATCGGAAACGCTAAGTTATGCGGGGTAGATTGAATTATGTGCCCAATAATGTGTCATTTAGAAAATTTTGATATTCCGAGTAGTTTTGGTGATATCCTAGGGAAACCGAAATTTGAAAGTTTCGTTTTAATTTTCTCCTAGCTTAATTTTCGAAGGAAATGTTACACATATATCAATTTGTCGTGGCCACTTTTTAAGGACTACACGATAACGTAAGCAGAATTTTCATGCGACGTTTCGTCTTTTGAAAAACATCATCGACTTTGTATTTTCATATGGGCCGAAACTGAAGTATACCCTGTATACGACTCCATTTTTCATTGTCAATACAGTAACGTACCAAACAATATGATTTCATAGCCATTCCTCGCGCAAAATGAAAAGTGATTACTTAACCTGCTCTTCTTCAATTTTGAATAGTCACTACGCGCTGGAAAAAATGATGTTTGTCATGATAATGATGATAATACTGTTGTTTGTAGAATTTTTGACATATTACCGTTCCTACTTCTACATCTCGTTACCTACCTAATTCGTGTTAAAAGTGGAAAACGGCAGTTTTTCGAATACTGAAAAATTTTATATGTTATCATGTTTCATTTTGTGCCAAAGAAATTGTGTTGATGCTGAACGTGCGTACTCTAATAAGTATCCAGAGAGGCGACAACTTGATAAATCAATATTTAGATGTTTAGTTCTTAATTTAAAAGAATACGAATCATTAAAAAAACCTGTAGTTTTCCGACAAAAAGCAATCTAATGAAGAAAGTCAGCGTTCAGACCATGTGACGATGTAATTCTAGCAACCTTTTGTGAATGGTACACTAGAAAATATCAAGACGATGAAAATTTCCCTTTCAAAATAATTTGGTCTGATGAAACCAGGATCACCAATAATGCCATTTTCAATAGTCGGAATAAGAAACATTGGTCACACAAAATCCGCATGTACACAAAGTGTCCAGACATCAACATCGTTTCGATTTCAACATGTGTGTTGGGATTCTCAGTACGAATGTAATTGGACTCTTTATCTACCAAAACAATTTAACGAAAAAGCGGTACATAAATTTGTAAGTAAATGTTTTGGAAGGCGCTCTAGATAATTTGCCTCACAGCTGCTGGTTTCAACAAGATGGTGCTCCAGCACAAAACGCTAAAATTGTTTGTGATTATTTGAACCGTCGCTTCCCAGGACAGTGGATTGGTACTCATAGTGATACATCCTGGCCTGCAAGGTCCCACGATCTAACCCCGCTAGACATTTTTCTTTGGGGATATATCAAGAATCAAGTGTACTCTCATAAGATTGGTTACTGCATCCTTTAACAATATTGTTCCGAATATGTTGACTCCAGTTTTAAATTCGTCTGTGAGACGAGCGTACTTGTGCTCAGAAAATAACGGCGGGTTATTTGAACACTTGTTATACGTTTCTGTTTATTTCCTTGTTATTACATTAACATTACATTTTATAAACTAAACTTTTGATATTGCGACTCATCTTTTTATTCAACAACGCAAAAATTCCAGCAAGTGGTAAATTAAAATTTATTATAAATAAATCTAATCAATTCACTTTATGTATCAAATATGACATATTTTCAGCGCGTTCTATCTAAAATTGAGGAAAAGCACGTTGACTAATTTTTCATTTCGCACAAGAAATGGTCAAGAAATCATATTGTGTGATACGTAACTGTATTCACAATGAAAAATGGAGTCGTATTCAGAGTATACTTTAGTTTCTGCCCATATAAAAATATAAAGTTGATGCTGTTTTCTAAAAGACGAAACGTTGCTGAAAAATTCCACTTACGTTATCGTGTGGTCCTTATGAAGTGGCCATGGCAAAGTGCTATTTGTTTAACATTTCCTTCGAAAATAAAGCTAGGAGAAAATAAAAACAAAATTCTTAAATTTCGGTTTTTCTCGGATATCTCTGAATACTCGAAATATTGAATCTTTCTAAATGGCATATTATTAGGTACATAAATGCGCTACTTTTCTCTTATTCAATTGACCCCGTATACTGTTCATTCTTATCTTGTATATATTCACGATGTTAATTTTTTTTCACATCTAGGGGTCTTGAGGTTTCACCAATATAACTATTCCACAGGAAAAAGGTATACTGTTGATACAATCTTCCTTTTTTTCAACTGTGTTTTCGGGTTCAGTTTGTATCGAAAGATATATCAATGTGTTGAAAGTTGTTCACCATTGTTTCTATAACCGATGCGTCTTAATTTCTCAGACAAACCAGGGACATAAGGAATGACGTTAATTGTGAGGTATGTGTATTGTTGTTGGGTTTGTGGTGATTGTGGGATTTGTAGATATTGTTTTGTTTTTATCAACTTCATTGAGAGCACTTTCCACAAACTGCTCCGGATATTCGTTCTGCTCTAAAACCGTTATTTCCTCTTTCATATCATGAACTGAATTGCAAACTGTCTTTGCCCTTCCATATATACTATACCTTTTTTGACGCTAGCTTGATGCTTAGATTTATGGTGGAGATATCTGGTAGTATGAATTTTTGTCGATAAACACTCGTATCAAGAGTATTTTTCGATTTTTTTAACATAACCTCGAGAAAAAAAAAGTTGATTATGATAGGTGAAAGAGTAAAGAAAAAATGAACTGGTATTTTCACAAATGATGAATTATAACATTGGATATCCGATGTGGATATCCATAAGATATTCAGATATCACTGACTTGGATGTCTACAGGATATCTATCATGGATATCTATAGAATGTCTATCAAAAACGTCATGGTATGAAATAAAATGCTTGTAAATGAAAAAATGTATTGCGGTAGGTGCGTACTTTGGGGATGACACTGTATACCATTGTATCCGCATTCAGTTGATAAAACGGTCGAAACGGAAGTCGGGATTTACCTGAAATACGTGATGTACATCTGAAAATCACGACCTCTCAACATAGATAAATAAACAGTTCGAGTAAAACCAGTTTCGGTCGATCATTTGTAATGTTTGTAAAAATTGAGGGAATAGTCCATCTTCGGGACTAATATACCATTAGTTGGTAGAATATCATTAGTAGTTTCGGTATTATCATTGTTTAACGTAGTGTACTGACCTCATCGAAAAATATGAATCGTAAGTAAATTTTTATTTATAGCTGAAATAATGCTAAACAAATTCTTTTTTTTTCCTGATGATTTCTGAATTACACACTGAAAAATAATGGAAATAGAACAAAAAGAATCTGCTTAAGTGTTATTGAGGGTTGACTGAAAAATTCACCCCAAAAACTTACTGTGTAATATAAACCTTCAAAGAGTCAGTATTCATGAATTTTGCTAAATGCATGCATTAGTGGACAAAATTAAAACCATATTTTCTATTTGATTTCATTCAACGCTAATAGAATCACTTTTCATATTATCGAAAGTGCTTGTGAAAATTTCTTTGAAAAAGATAAGCTCCTGAAAAATTCAGCAATCAGTTTTTGGCATACTTGAAATTGTAGCTATCAAATTTGTTACGTCAAAATTATTTCATTTGTTTTACTGAATGGTTTTTTAATTGTTGTGATGTGAATAAATTAGATAACAAAAAATGAATTTGCATTATTGTACAGTATAATCTTTTGAAAAAAATCAACGACAGAATGACGAACATGGTTGATTCAAAAAGTGATCATTTTCTAGCATATTTATTTAATATTCCAATTTC